CCTTAGCAAAGAAGTCACCCCATTGAGGGCTCAATTTGAAGAAGCTAGGGAAAAATGTGTTGAAATCCATAATGTCATTCTTGATGCATCCGATCGTGAGGCTGCGTCCACTGAAAGATTGAACAATTTGAGGGTGGCCTTGAACTCCAAAACTGAAGAGCTTGCTGTCGCTGGGGGTGAAGTATGCCTAATTGGAGGAGAAGCATGTAAAGACCATTGCGCATAATAGACTTTTAGCTCTATTGTCTGTGATCTCGATGTCAGCCTCCGGTCCGTTGGATCTGCATGGGAAAGCCTTTCTACCGAGGTTGACCAATGTAAAGAAGAACTCAAGCGTCGAGCGGCTTCCCTCATTGTTGAAAAAATATATGTTATGTACAGCATGAGGAGAAAAACCTTGGAAGAGTCTAAAGCTGGTGTCATTGACTTTGATGCCGAAATAGCTAAAGTCCGTGAGCTGGAGTTGGCTGCTAAAAGGGGTCTTCCGGCCAAGCCTGATGCTACCGATCCTTCTGGTTCTGGTTCTGAGTGCTCAGGAACTGAAGAGGAATCGAAAGGCGAAGATGCTGAAGGCCCAAATGACGAGGCCAAGATATCAAACCGGTGGCGAATCTACCCACTTCTCCTGGGGGCGTGGATGTTTCTCTTCCTCCGGGTTTCAGAGATGCAGCAACTTAGTCCTTGATTTATTTTTCAAACTTTTGTACTTGTGTCACTTGGCACATGTGTTGTAAATAAAAGCACTTTTCCGTTCAAGTATCATATAAGTTTCCCTTTCTGTGTACTTTCGTTTAAACATTTGCGCAAGTTTGCTCTTTGTGACTTTTTTCATTTAAGTGTTTGCACAAGTTTTACTATTTGCATCTAATCATGCAAGGCTTCGGTGTATTTTTCCCCGAAAGAATTTGGATTCTGGGCATAAGTTCTTTGTAAATCAACCCTTTAACGTGAGGGTTTTAATAAGAGAGGGCCCTCTTATGTTTACGGTGCTCTTGAAGAGGACGTATCCTGTTCATTACGCACTAGCATTTGAAGTACTTAATGATAAAATCAAATCATCGTTCGGACAAGAAACAAGATAGAAATAAAAGTACTTTAATTTATTCGTTCCATTTTCAAAAGTACATAAGCATTCGTTGTGCTAAAAAGAAATTACCATTTCTTGTGGCTAAATTATACAACTTGTTTCTAAGGAACTGGCCATGCAATCCCCGGTCCCGATGATACAACTATGTTTCCAGGTTTTATATTCGGGTCGAAGTGGCAGTCGTTGTTGCCATATCCTCATATCATTCCCCCCAGCGTTCGAATGCGAAGAATGCGAATTAGAACTTTGGGAGTTTTATACATTTCGAGGGTTCCACTAGTGAATTGCTAAATAATATTCAGTTCAGTAACAAAATTCACTCTACATTAGGAATTTATGCTATCGAGCCAAAGATTATTTAACAATCCCCTAGTATCTTGCACTTGTGAACGGTCGGGTAATCTCCGTTCGATAGCAAACTCAACTTCCGGGTAGGAACTTTGCTATCGAGCGAAAGACTATCTAACCGCTCCGTAGTGGTTCTTCGCTTGTGTGCCATGTCATTAAAATATCTTATTGTTGTAGTTGAAACTTCCTTCATAGTATGCTTTCCGTTGCTACCTTGTTAAAAAACTTGCCAGAAAAAACCCAATTGGGACAAAAACCGGACAAAGGAAAAAAAGTGCAGCACATACTTTTAGTACAGGTGATGTTCATCAGCAATAATATCTCTTGAGGTGTGACACGTTCTAGTTGCTTGGAAACTTTTCTCCATCTTCATTCTCTAACTCATATGACCATTTCCCGGTGATAGCTGAAACCCGGTAGGGGCCTTCCCATGTTGGACCAAGCTTTCCCGCATTGAGTTCTCAGGTATTCTGAGTTACGTTCCTTAAATCCAAGTCTCCTATTTTGAAATAATGGAGGTTGGCTCTACGATTATAATATCTCTATATTCGCTGATTTTGAGCTGCCATCCATATATGCGCCAAGTCCCTGCGTTCATCGAGCAACTCCAAATTGACTAACGATGCTTCACTGTTTTCTTCTTCGCTTGGCCGGAAATATCTCATGGTAGGTTCGCCTACTTCCACTGGGATCAGGGATTCTACCCCGTACCGAAGAGAAAAAGGAGTCTCCCCTATGCTTGATTTGGTTATTATTCGGTATGCCTATAGTACACCTGGAAGCTCTTCGGGCCATTTTCTTTTAGCTGCTTCTAATATCTTTTTGAGATTTTATATGATCACTTTGATTGTTGATTCTGCTTGGCTATTTGTGCTCGGATGATAAGGTGATGATGTGATCCTCTTAATTTTCAACTCTTTGAGGAATTTTATGATTTTTGCGCCTATAAATTGTGGCCCATTGTCACAGGCAATTTCTTTTGGTATCTCAAATCTACAAATTACGTTCTCCCACAAGAAATCTACCACTTCACGTTCGTCGTTCTTCTAATAAGGACCTGTTTAAACCCACTTAGAAAAATAGTTAGTTAAAATCAAAAGAAATCTTACCTTACTGGGGGCCGACGATAGTGGTACGATGGTATCCAGTCCCCACTTTATGAACGACCATGGTGACAGAACCGAGTGTAGTGGCTCTGCCGGTTGATATACCAACGGTGCATAGCATTGACATTTATTGCATTTTTGAACATAAGCTTTGGCGTCTTGTTCAATCAGGGGCCAATAGTATCTTGCCCTTATTAATTTTAGTACTAAGGAATCTACGCCCGAGTGATTCCCGTCGATCCCTCATGGAATTCTCGCATAACATAATTAGCTTCGGAGGCTCCCAAACATCGGGCCAACGAGCCTTGGAAAGATTTTCTGTATAATTGACCTCCTTTGAAACTATATCGTGCGGCCTTAGTTCGTAGCTCCCTAGATGCGTTAAGATCCTCAGGCAGTTTCTCGTGTTTGAGATAGTCCAATATCGAGTCTATAAGTACGACCGTACCAGAGTCCGATCCTTTCATTTCCATAGACGATCCAAGGTTAGCTAATGCATCTGCTTCTGTATTTACTTCCCTCGGGATATGTGTGATTGACCACTCCCGAAAGTGAGCGAGCAAAGCCTAAACCTTCATTACGTATTATTGCATGCATTCCTCCTTGGCTTCGAAGATCCCGTGGACCTGATTTACCACCAACTGGGAGTCATATTTGATTTCTATGACCTCGGAGTCCAGTCCCCAAGCCAATTCGAGCCCTGCAATCAAAGCTTCATACTCTACCTCATTGTTAGTCAGCGGTACCATTCTTATGGCCTACCTTAGGGTTTCTCCCAAAGATGTGGTTAGTACTATGCCGAGCTCGGACCCTTTTCCATTGGAAACTCCGTCTATGAATAGGGTTCAAACTCCTGAAGTCGATTCGGAAACCATCACTGCTTCTTTGGTTGCCAAAGGTAATAGTCCTGGACTGAAATCGTCCACGAAGTCGGCCAAAACTAGTGACTTAGTCGCAATCCTAAGTTTATATTCTATGTCAAATTTGCTCATATCAATGGCCCACTTGGCCAGCCTACCCAAAAGTTCAGGTTTATGAAGAATATTCCGCAAGGGAAAGTGGTCACCACAGCTGTCGGATGACATTGGAAATAAGGCCTTACTTCTCGAGCTGCGACTACGAGGGCTAAGGCCAATTTTTTCAGATGTGGGTAGCGATTTTTTGCTCTCAACAAAATTTACTAACGTAATAGATAGGAGATTGCATACCTTCTTCCTCACAGACTAAAACAACACTTACCGCTACCTCTGAGACTGCTAAATAGACCAATAGTTGTTTTCCTTCTTCCGGTTTCGATAGTAATTGAGGACTTGAAAAATACCTTCTCAAATCCCTCATATCTTGTTGACATTCCGGGGTCTATTCAAAGTTATTCCGAGAAGAAATGATGGCATTTCTCCGAAGACTGGGAAATGAATATGCTCAAGGTGGCAAATCACCCTGTTAGCCTTTGAACCTCTTTTACGCTTGATTGTTGGTCCGGGATATCTTCGGTGGCCTTTATTTTATTGGGGTTAACCTCGATCCCCCTTTGTGACACCAAAATTCCCAGGAACTTACCGGAGCTGACCCCGAACGCATTCTTCTCGGGGTTAAGATTCATGTTGTGCTTCCTTAAGATGTCAAAAGTTTATAGCAAGTGTTTGAGATGATCACCTACGTTCAAAGACTTAACAAACATATCATCTATGTAAACTTCCATGGTTTTCCCTATTTGCTTTTCAAACATCTTGTTCATGAGCCACTGATAAGTGGCTCCGGAGTTCTTTAGCACGAAGGGCATCACGTTGTAACGATATGTGCTGAAATTCGTGATGAACGAAGTTTTTTTCTGATCCTCCGGGTCCATTTTGATTTGGTTGTACCCGGAGTAAGATCGAGGAAATTCATTAACTCGTGCCCGGTCATTGCATCAATCATTTCATCAATGTTCGGCAATGGGAATGAATCTTTTGGGCACGCCTTATTTAAGTCCTTATAGTGTACGCAAATGCAAAATTTATTATTATTCTTTGGAACTACTACTATGTTAATTAGGCGATCGAGATATGTTGCCTCTTGAATTGAACCGATATCAAGAAGGCGAGTTACCTCTTCTTTGACAAATTTATTTCTGGCCTCGACAATAGGATGTTTTTTCTGTCTTATCGTAGGGATGTTGGGATCCAAGATTAGCTTGTGTACGATCACTTACGGTGGGATACTTGTCATATCCGCATGCGACCACGCAAAACAATTGACATTAAATTTAAGAAATTCAACAAATCCAGACCTGAGTTCAGGGTGCAATCCTATTCCCAAGTGGAATTTCCTCTCCAAGATTTTTTTGAATAATGCGACTTGCTCAAGTTCTTCCGATGTGGACTTTGTTGTGTCCTTCTCTTCTGGTACCTAGAAATACCTTGGTACCTGAGATTGAATTCATCTACCTTGCCGCTGGTTGGTCACCTTCAATTTGTTTAACTTCCTCGGGAGTTGGAAATTTCAGCAACTGATGATATGTTGATGGCACATCCTTCATTTCGTGCAACCATGGTCTCCCCAGAATGATATTGTAACCCATATCGCCGTCCACTACCTCGAAAAGGGTCGTCTTCATCACCCCCTCTGTATTCATGGGCAGCAAGATCTCCCCGGGTTGTCACGCTTTCCAGATTGAACCAGGCAAGGAGTTTTGTGTTCTGAATGATACTTTCGATGAGCTTAGCTTGCTCCAACACTCTTCATTGGATAATATTGGCCGAACTTCCTAGATCCACCAGAACACGTTTAATTTTAAAATCTAAGACATTTAGAGATATTACTAGGGCGTCGCTATGCGGTAGTAGCAATCCATCCGCGTTTTTCTCAATGAAATTAAGGTCGTCTTCAGCAACTTCATAGAGTCTTTTGTTGTAGGTCACTGATACCTTCATTGTTTTTGCAGGCGAAATTGTAACCCCGTTAATCTCGTTCCCCCAAAAAATCATGTTGATCGTCAGGCGTGGGGGATCTTCTCCTACTTTTGAAGGCTCTGCATTATCACGAATGCGACCGTAGTTGTTTGTAGTTTGGTCACTTATAAACTCCCCGAGATTGCCATTTTTCAGTAGTGTCGCCACCTCTTCGCGCAGATGTCGGCAGTCTCCAGTCCAGTGACCGTTTGTCACGTGGTATTCGCACCACAAATTAGGATCCCTCTGGCCGGGATCAGATCTCATTTTCTTCAGGAACTGAGACATTTTAATGTTCATGATGGCCGATATCAACTCCATTACGCTGACATTGAAATTGTATTCAGAAAGTATGGGGTAGGAAGAATCTTGAGATCCTGATGTTTCCCTATTCTGCAACAACCTATTATTTCGGCCAGGATCGGTTCTCCTATCGGTAGCCAATCTATCCGCCGACCGGAAACCTCTTCCACGTCCTTCGGCCCGTTCATAGGGCAAAAACTGACTCCTTGAAGACCGTCGATCTATATCAAAATCGTCTTTTGATTTCTCTTTATTCTTTTCCCGATCCCGACCCTTGGCTGACGCCGGAAAACCGAGCTGATCATCTTCAATCCTTATTTTTGACTCATACCGATTGTGAACATCTGCCCAAGTTGTTTCCTGGAACTCGAGCAAACTTTATTTCAACTTCTGGGAAGCGTCAGAACTTCTTGGATTCAGACCTTTAGAGAATGCTTCAGCTTCCATTCGTCTGGAACGGTTGGTAGCACCATCCTTTCCTTCTAGAACCTGGTTACAAACTCCAGTAGCAACTCAGACTCTTCTTGCGTAATTCTGAATATATCGGCCTTTAGGGTATGTACTTTTCTGGCCCCGGCATGGGACTTCATGAAAGAATATGAGAGCATCTCAAAGGAGTCTATGGAATGCTCGGGCAAAAGCGAATACAACGTCAGGTCTCCCTTCGTAAGAGTCTCCCCGAATTTCGTCAGCAAAACAGACGTTATCTCGTGGGGAGCTAAATTGTTTCCCTTCACCGTCGTTGTATAGGTGGTGATATGCTTATGAGGATCTGAAGTCCCCTCATACTTTGGCACGTCGGGCATTTTAAACTACTTCAGGATCAGTTCTGGTGTCGCGCTTGGTTTGTACGGCAATTGTGTGTACTTCTTTGAGTCCAGCCCTTTCAGCACTGGTGGTGCATCCGGAGTTTGATCCATTTGGGCGTTTACTTCCATCATAAGTCGCATGAGTTCGATTTTAAAGGGATCTCTCTCGTTGTTGTGACCAAATCCATTCCCCTCGGCCCCATCGGAGCCGACCTCGCCCATCGGAGTGTTGTTGTCGCCCATCTGCGTCTTTTGGTTTACGGGAGCACCGGTAAGAACTGGGCCTCACCCATTCGCGTTGTTGGAAGCACCTGACAATGCATGCTTTAGTTCCGTCATGACCTTATCCTATCTTGTGAGATGGCCTATAATGGCCTCATGTTGCTCTTGCAAGACCCTGACTGCTTCGGTGACGTGCTCTTCTTCAGCATCATTAGGAGTTGCCTCCCGAACATGTCATGGATATCAGCCATCGTGGACCAGTATGGCCTCGTTTCCCTCGTTGCGGGTATCACTAATTGAATCCTCGTGCTAAGGCTAATTTTCTTAGGCCTCTGTCACGACCCAAACTAACCCCTGTCGTGATGGCACCCATCGTGGAACTAGGCAAGCCGACTCATTTTCAAAACAAGCCGATATTTTCATTTCAAAGATAATTTCAATGTTATTTAATNCTAACCCCTGTCGTGATGGCGCCTATTGTGGAACTAGGCAAGCCGACTCATTTCCAAAACAAACCAATATTTTCACATCAAAGATAATTTCAATGTTATTTAACATAAAAATCTTCATAAAGGAGTTCCAATCAAAATAAAAGTGCGGAAGGAAAATCCCGACATCGAGGTGTCACTAATCATGAGCATATACTACAATCTGTCTAACACNCGGAAGGAAAAGCCCGACATCGGGGTGTCACTAGTCATGAGCATCTACTACAATCTATCTAACACTATCAAGGCTAACTCAACCTGGAAAATAACTAAATACAACTAAAGGAAGTAAGAGGGAGAAGAGCAGGGGCTGCGATCGCCAAACAGCTACCTTGCTATCTCCAAGAAAAATCTGCAACCAGAACAATCAATAACTGCTACCGTATCCAGTTACATTTGAATCTGCACACAAGGTGCTGGGAGTAACGTGAGTACNCTACCTTGCTATCTCCAAGAAAAATCTGCAACCAGAACAATCAATAACCGCTACCGTGTCCAGCAATACATGAATCTGCACACAAGGTGTAGGGAGTAGTGTAACTACACCAACTTAGTAAGTAACAACAATAAATAAAGACTGAGTAGTAGTGACGAGCAATAAAGCATATCAAGTTCATATCACAAAAATTCAGTAAGGGACATGCTTTAAAAATCAATGTTTGAATTAAATCATCTANAAAGACTGAGTAGTAGTGACGAGCAATAAAGCATATCAAGTTCATATCACAAAAATTCAGTAAGTCCAGCATGCATTAAAAATCAGTGTTTGAATCAAATCATCTCGTTTAAACCCGGTTTCAGTAAAAATCATTTAAAGATATTTTTCAACAGTTTTTCAAACAAAGGAAAAATGCAAAGGTGAGCAAAAATGAAGAAATCATAAACATCCCCTTGGGCAAACCTCACAATCACTCTTCNAATCATTTAAAGATATTTTTCAACAGTTTTTCAAACAGAGGAAAAATGCAAAGGTGAGCAAAAATGAAGAGATCATAAATAGCCCCTCGGGCAAACCTCACAATCGATCTTGCCACTCGGGCATACCTCACAATCACCCTTGCCACTCGGGCATACCTCACAATCACTCATGCCTCCCAGTCACTCAGCACTCGACACTCGCACTCAGTAGGTACCTGCGCTCACTAGGGGTGTGTACAGACTCCGGAGAGGCTCCTTCAGCCCAAGCGCTACATCAAGCCAAATCATGGCATAAATCACTCAGGCCCTCGGCCGATATCAAACATGCAGCGGCGTGCAGCCCGATCCCATAAATATGCAACATGCTGAGGCGTGCAGCCCGATCCCATAAATATCCTCACAAATCAGACCCTCAGCCTCACTCGGTCATAAACCTCTCAAGCCACTCGGGCATTTTCGTAAAAAAACAGGGCATTCAGCCCAAAACAACATTTATATGCATCAAAATAGAGTCATAAAACTGAGTTATGCAGTAAATAAGTATAACCATGACTGAATATAGATTTTCAATCGAAAACAATGAGAGGATAGTAAGAAAAGGCCCCTAAGGGTCCAAATAACACTTACACAAGGCCCAAACATGGCATTCAACCCAATTTACAAAAACTCTTTCTAAAACATATAAGTATCACATAGTTTCAACAAAATATGCAACTTTACAGTTGCTACGGGACGGACCAAGTCACAAATCCCCAACGGTGCACGCCCACACGCCTGTCACCTAGCATGTGCGTCACCTCAAAATACTAGAATGATACGAAATTCGGGGTTTCATACCCTCAGGACTAGATTTACAATCGTTACTTACCTCGAACCGGTAAAATCTCTACCCCGAAATGCTCTTGCCTCTAGACTCGGCCTCCAAATACTCTGAATCTATTCACAATCAGTACAATACCATAAATACGCGCTAATGGAATGAATTCCACAAAGAAAGCTAAAAAATTAGACCAAAACCCGAAATTGGCTCAAACCCGGCCCCCGGGCCCACATCTCGAAATCCGACAAAATTCACATAAAATAGAAAGATCATTCACTCACGAATCTAATCATACCAAATTCATCAAAATCCGACATCGTTTGGTCCTTCAAATCCTCAAATTACTCTCCAAAAATTCAAAGCCCTAACCCCTCATTTTCACTAATTACATGATTAAACAACGGGAAATCACCGTATATATGAGTATTAGGGCTCAAGCAACTTACCTCACTAATAGCCCTTGAATCACCCTTCAAAATTCACTCCAAAAGCTTCACAAACCGACTTGAAAATGGTAGAAATGAACCAAATTCGCGAAGGGTTCTATTTAAGGTTTCTGCCCGGGTTTTTTGCATATGCGGGCTCTTTTTCCACGCCTGCAGTCAAGGCGCCGCATCCGCGAACTCCACTTAATTCCCTAGCTTCCGCAGCTGCGCTCCAGGCCTCGCACATGCGGGCTCGCAGGTGCGGCCAAATCCTTCGCGCCTGCGATCCAGCCTTGGCCTCACATTTTTCTGCATCTGCGCAGCAAATTCTCGCGCCTGCGCGTTTCCTCCGCTTATGCGAAGCCTGCCCAGCAGTCCCCTTTCCGTATCTGCGCCCCAGGTTTCGCACCTGCGGGCCCGTAGATGCGATAGCCTTCTCGCACATGCGCATTCTGCCTAGCCCAGCATTGCCCGCACCTGCGAACTCCCCACGCACACCAGTGGCCTCGCACCTGCGACTCTTCTCTTCCGCAGGTGCGAAAATAGCAGTAACAGCAGCTTCAGCTGTATTTTCCAACTTCGACAAATTCGTTAACCACCCGGAATAACCTCGAGGCCCTCGGGACCTCAACCAAAAATACCACCAAGTCATATATCAACATACCAACTTAGTCGAGCCTTCGATTCACTCAAAACAACATCAAATCATCAAATTACCTTCGGATTCAAGCCTAAAAACTTCTAAATTTCTAAATTCGACAACCGATGCCGAAACCAATCAAACCACATCCGAATGAACTCAAAATTTCCACACACATCACAAATGACACTACAAACTTACTCCAACTTCTGAATTCCATTCCGACCCCGATATCAAATTTTCCACTGCCGACCGAAATCGCCAAATTTTCAATTTCGCTAATTCAAGCCAATTCTACCACGGACCTCCAAATCACATTCCGGACGCACTCCTAAGTCCAAAATAACCTAACGGAGCTAACAGAACCATTAGAATTCAAATCCGAGATCGTTTATATATAGGTCAACATCCGGTTGACTTTTCCAACTTAAGTTTCTACTTAAAAGACTAAGTATCTCAATTCACTCTGAAACCACTCCGGTACCCGAACCAACTAACCCGATATAACATAATATAGCTCAATAACACAAAAAGAAGTATAAATGGGGAAAACGGGGCTATAACTCTCGAAACGACTGGTCGGATCATTACATCATCCCCCTCTTAAACACTCGTTCGTCCTCGAACGGGTCTAGAAACATATCTGGAGTCTCGAATAGGTGTGGATATCTGCTCTGCATCTCCCGATCAATCTCCCAGGTGGCCTCATCCACAGTCTAACCTCTCCATTGCTCCTTCACTGAACCGTGCTAAAATCCAAAACATGGGACGGATCTCCAATATACTTCCGGAGCATGAAAACATGAAATACTGGATGCACACTCGACAAGTTGGGTGGCAAGGCAAGCTTATAAGCCACCTCCCCTATCCTTTGAAGCACCTCAAAAGGCCTAATGAACCGGGGGCTCAACTTGCCCCTCTTCCCAAACCTCATAACACCCTTGATGGGTGATACCTTCAGCAAAACCTTATCCCCAACCATAAAAGACACATCACGGACCTTCCTATCTGCGTAGCTCTTTTGCTTAGACTGCGCCGTGCGAAGACTCTCCTGAATCAATTTCACCTTATCTAATGCGTCCTGGACCAAGTCTGTACCTAAGAGCCTAGCCTTACCCGGCTCAAACCATCCAACCAGAGATCTACACCTCCTCCCATATAAAGCCTCGTACGGAGCCATTTGAATACTCGACTGATAACTGTTGTTATATGCAAACTCCGCGAGTGGCAGAAACCGATCCCATGAAACCCCAAAGTCAATGACACAAGCACGCAACATGTCCTTCAATATCTGAATAGTATGCTCGGACTACCCGTCCGTCTGAGGGTGAAAAGTTATGCTCAACTCAACCTGAGTACCCAACTCTCGCTACACGGCCCTACTCGACACCCTATCTGAAATAATAGAAACTGGGACACCATGCAGGCGAACGATCTCTCGGATGTAAATCTCAGCCAACCGCTATGAAGAGTAAGTAGTACCA